GTTTTGTGATCCAACCCCAACCATTCCATGATTCTGTGATCCAACCCCAACCATTCCATAATTTTGTGATCCAATCCCAACCATTCCATAGTTTTGTGATCCAACCCCAACCATTCCATGATTCTGTGATCCAACCCCAACCATTCCATGATTCTGTGATCCAACCCCAAACATTCCATGATTCTGTGATCCAACCCCAACCATTCCATAGTTTTGTGATCCAACCCCAACCATTCCATGATTCTGTGATCCAACCTTAACCATTCCATGATTCTGTGATCCAACCTTAACCATTCCATGATTATCCCCAATTTCCACCTTTATTCTGGAATATTAAATATTTACAGGGATTTTCCGCTGCCCTGGGGAGCGGATTCCTGGTGTATCCCATCCTGCTGAGCTTGGAGCATTAAACATCATTCCAGAGGGGGGCTGGGAATGCTCCAGATTGGTGGGATTTTAACCTGGATCCGTCTCTGGGAGGTCAAACCAGAAATCCCAGCACATCTCCAGAGTGACCTGGAGTTGTCGTAGAACTAAATCCGAGCGGGAAATCTGCTCCCACAGCCAGGGAAGAGGGGGAAGATAAAAAAAAATAGGGAATAAAACCTCCCTGTGGGGGCTCCTGGATGGAATTTGATGCGTGGAGGGAACAGCTGGGGCTGTGCCGACGCCGGCAGCCGAGCCATCAAATTCCAATCGCTCATTCCCGCTGGCAGGTGAGTGACTGAGGCGCTTCCCACCACCTGGAAAAGTTGGATACAGCCTCGTTTGCCGACTCGTTCTTTCCTGCCCTGGTCAAGGCTGATTTGATTCCATGTGCGCGCCAGTCGGAGCCGGTTTTCCCTGGAGTTGCTCCGGGATGTGTTTGGGTTCATTTGGGAGATGAAAAGGGGAAGATCCCTGTGGGGTTTGGAGCTGGAAAGGAGCACTTGTGGTGCTGGGGCTCTCCTGAAAGTCCCGGCCTTGCATGGAGGTCCATGGGGAGCATCCTCATCCGTCCGGGATGCTCCATCTGGGAGCTGCTTTGGGTGGAACGGTGAGGTCCGGGAATCATGGAATGGTTTGAGAGGGAAGGGAGTGGAAAGATCATCTCATTCCAATCCCGTGCCGTGGTCAGGGACGCCTCCTGCTATCCCAGGTTGCTCCAACCTGGCCTTGGATGCTTCCAGGGATGGGGCAGCCACAGCTTCTCTGGGAATTCCATCGCAGCTCCTCCCCACCCTCCCAGCCAAGAATTCCTTCCCAATATCCCATCTAACCCTGGGAAGCCATTCCCTGTGTCCTATCCCTCCATCCCTTGTCCCAAGTCCCTCTCCAGCTCTCTTAGAGCCCCTTTAGGCCCTGGAAGGGGCTCTCAGGTTTCCCTGAATCCTTCCCTTCTCCAGGCCGGACATTCCCACCTCTCCCAGCCTTTCCTCACAGCAGACCCATCCCATCCCATCCCTCCGATCATTTTTGTGGATCAAAGATCCTGAGGGCTCTATGAATTCCTATAAAATGCCTCGATTCCCAGGAGTGATCCATGTTTTTCTCTCGTTCCCAGCTCTGAGGTTGCACTCCATGCCCAGTCCCGGCATCTCTCCCTCCGGCCTGAACCGATCCTCCTCGTGCCGATACATCGCCAGGTCGGTATTCCCAAGGAATCCCCCTCTGGAATCATGCTCAGAAGGCTGTTGGGAGCTCGAGTTTAACTGGATAATTATTTGGTGACGCTGCAGCCGCTGCTTTTCCTCAGCTTCTGCTTCCAGGTGGTTGTAACTTCCAGCAGAAAGGCATGGGAAAGCTGGGATTCCAAGCCGTGGATTCTGCTTGGGAAAGGTTGGAAAGGTTATTAATGGAAAGCTGCACCTTTCTGGGAGCAAATCCTGCTTGGAAAATCCCTTTTGAAATCAACTACATTATCCTCAAGAGGCATTTTGTGGTTTCTCCCTCATCCCAATTTAACCCTTCAAACCTGCAGCCTTTCCTCCTTTCCTTTCCTTTCCTTTCCTTTCCTTTCCTTTCCTTTCCTTTCCTTTCCTTTCCTTTCCTTTCCTTTCCTTTC